TGTAAATAATTGAACATCGAAGTGCAAGTAAAATGTATTACAAGTGCATGTAAAATGTATTATAGGTGCAAGCAAAATTTACACTGAGCATCAATACTAAGTGTACCTATAGTTATAAGTAGTTGCACCTATAGTTCTAAGTAGTTGCACACATAGTTATAAGTAGTTGCACCTAGGTGCATGAATGTTTGCGGGCGGTTTTCAGGGGTATTACTACCCGCTGAACTCAGATCAATAAATGTTAACAAGGCAAAATTACATGCACTTATAGGTCAAAGTAGGTGCACCTATAGTTATAAGTAGTTGCACCTATAGTTATAAGCACACCCAGGTGCATGAATGTTTGCGGGAAGTGAATGCTAACAAGGAAAAATTACATGCACTTATAGGTGAAAGTATGTACACTTGTAAGTGATTTTACTTGCACTTCGATGTTCAATTATTTACGAAAATGCCACCGCATTTTTTTTAGCTATTAGATCTGGACACGTGTCGCGCGCTAATTCGTTCACATATTCCTTGCTGGGCACTTATTCGCACCTGAGTGCATCCTTTTATATATATATATATATATATATATATATATATATATATATATATATATATATATATATATATATATATATATATATATATATATATATATATATATATATATATATATATACACACACACACACCTTAAGGTACGTAGTTTTATACCTTAAAGTGCGTAGTTTTATATCTTAAGGAACATCATTTTGAGACAGTTAATCATTTGCATGCATGCTGACAAAAAGCGTATTTTTAATATTTTTCTTGATTTGAGCCATCTAAATTAGATCAACGACTCAGATCTCACCACATCTTTTACCAGAGTACCGTCTTCACATGAGAATTGATCCTTATAAAAAACAAAATGCGGTCGCATTATGATAATTTAATGAAAGTTCAGTTTTTTTTTTTCTTTCTTTGGGTGCATTGTTTTCCTTGTTTGTGTGCATATTGTTCCTCCTCAAATGCATGGTTTATCTTCTAGTGAATATTTACTTTTTTGGGTGCATTAATTTCCTTCTTTGGGTGCATATTGTTCTCTCTTCGAGTTCATTATTCCAAAGGCTGAACCCCAACCCTAAGGGCCCCCCACACCCCGGCCCGACAGAGCATTTGGGAGGATGTAAATCATGGTGACTCAACTGAACATGAACCATAGAGGCTAGACCGGTGCTCACTGCGCACAAGAAGCCCCCCTCACTTTGAGAGGTTGCTCCCACACTGCCGCTGGTGAGACTCGATCCCTCTCTTCGAGTTCATGGTTTATCTTCTAGTGAATATTTACAATTTTCTTTGGGTGCATTATTTTTTTCTTTAGTTGCATATAGTTTCTTTTTTGGGTGCATATTATTTTTTCTTTGAGTGCATGATTTATCATGTAGTGAATATTTACTTTTTTCTTTGAGTACATTATTTTTTTTCGCTGGATACATAAGTTTAAATTGTTGGGTTCATAACTTTAAAATATTATCTTTGCACTGTAAGACACATAACTTTAATTTGCACTCTAAGGTGCATATAGTTTACCTTACGAATGCATACATTTTAATTATTTAGTTCATAATTTTGCTGCATTAAGTGTATACCTTTAGAATTACAAGTGCATTACGATGGAAAATAAATATGGTAGGGGATGGAAACCAGTGGGTTGTAGCAAAATTATATTGTGCACTGCGGTGTATAATTGGTTATGCACCAAACTTCAAAATGGCGTCGTTTTGTTTAATAAAAAGAAACAGCACCCGTTTCGCGTCATTCCACAAAAAGTACGTAACTCTGTTATTCAGTTTCATTTAGTATACACTACAGTTTTAGTTCAACAAATCTACAGTTTCATTTCGATATAACTACAGTTTCATTCGATATTTATACACTCAAATATGTGAAAATGTTATTTAATTTTATTTTATATACACTATAGTTTCATTAAAACACAACTACATGATCATTTCGATATAACTACAGCTTTATTGCACAATATACACTCAAATATGTGAAATGTTATTCAGTTTCATTTTATATACACTGAAGTTTAATTTCACCACAACTACAATATCATTTTGATATAACTTCAGTTTCATTTGATAATATATAAAATAATACGTGAGGCAGTGTCGATTTAGATACACTGTAGTTTCAGTTTAGATACACTGTAATTTCTGTTGATAATTAACACACCAAAATATGCACGTTCGATTAACAACAATAGTCTCGTTTTGACCGCGGTACACATGTACCGTGATCCACGATTTAACGACTGATCGCTTTTGTGGCCAGAGGAAGATATCCAAAAAAAAAAAAAAAAAAAAAAAAAAAAAAAAAAAAAAAAAGATGACATCAGTATTGTGTGTGAACAGTGACTTCCAATCATTGTTACTTCCTCGTTTTGTATTATATAACTAAATACGGAGTATAAATTATTCATTCTACGGAATACGGATTAACTTTTTATTTTCTTTACCCTTCGGATTTAACATCATTATAATTTCCAATGATAAGTCCCTTTCATCCTACTACTTACTGACTTACTGCCGCTATCCCAACCAATAGTACATCATCAGCTTCATCTGTTCAACCTCATTTTTTTAAGTTTGAGTAATGCTAGAATATTACAATAAATTCGAAAAAAATATGGGATTTTTGGTCAATTTCAAAAAGCTCATTTAAGTGTCCAAGTGCTCTAAGGGCATCCTCAATAGTTGGAGATTTTATCCCAGATTTTTGTGGACCCCAACATCCATTATCTCACTCAATCACAAAATCTATTATAAAGGCTGAACCCCAACCCGACCAACATCCACTATCTCACTCAACCACAAAATCTATTATAAAGGCTGAACCCCAACCCGACAGAGCATTTGAGAGGATCTAATCATGATAACTCAACTGAACATGAACCATAGAGGCTAGACATGTGCTCACTGCACACAAGGAACCCCCCTCACTTTAATAGGTAACTGAACATGAACCACAGAGGCTAGACGGTTCCCTCACTTTAATAGGTAACTGAACATGAACCACAGAGGCTAGACCTGTGCTCACTGCGCACAAGGAACCCCTCTCATTTTGAGAGGTTGCTCCCATACTGGGGCTGGTCATTCTTCCAAAGTTTTACCTCTGTGACCAGTTGAGTTGCCTATGCGAGTGGACCCATCATTTTATCTACTACTATATTTTAATTATTATTTTTTATTTATTATCATTTTAAAAATTATTATTACAATTATTATTTTTATTATATTTAAATTATACATATTAAAATTAAAATAAATTAGATATTATAAGTGTTTACAATTTTTTTAAATTACAATTTTATCACATAGAAATTTTATAATAAAATCTAATCATTTATTTATGAAATAAGGTTCAAATTGGTCACTGAACGTAACCTGAAAATGCAATTAGGCCATTGAATGAAAAAACAAAGTGCAATTAGGCCACTGAACACTCCAAAAATGTGCAATTTCACCTGATAGCAGGTTACTCTCAATTTTAGTAGGTTATCTGCTTACGTGGCAGCTGAGTTGGCATTTTTAATAAATTTTAATTAATTTTTAATAAATTTTAATAATAACTTTTTATTAAAAAAAATTTAAAAATAAAAACGACTTTATTTTATTTTTTATTTAATTTTTTCCAATTTTTTATAAAATTTATTATTAAAATTAATTATTAAAAATTATTTAAAAATTATTAAAAATGCCAACTAAGCTGCCACGTAAGCAGGTAACCTGCTAAAATTGATGGTAACCTGCTATCCGGTAAAATTGCATACGTTTGGAGAGTTCAGTGGCCTAATTGCACATTTTTTGAGTGTTCAATGGCCTAATTGTACTTTTTTTTCGTTCAGTGGCCTAATTGCATTTTCAGGTTACGTTCAGTGGCCAATTTGAATCTTATTCCTTTATTTATTATCATTTTAAATTAAATTAAAAAGCTTTCAAAAAAAATTAAACATAAGAACTGGCCGTTTTCAATGAACTGAAAAACTGAAACAAATAAAAACTTCATTTCATTTCAAAGTGGCCGCCAGTGGAATGAACGGTTGGCAGTGAGACGCGTTGCGTCTCACTGCGTTTTTTTTTTTTTTTTTTTTTTTTTCTAAAGTGACAAATTTTTTTTGTTTGCTGGCGTAAAATGCAGTCAAATATTTGCCTTCCCATTAGTTAAAAAGCAAAGCATGTGAATTTTACTGTTCTAAAATTGTGGAATGAACCCCCTAATGGGGATGCCCTAAGTAACAAAAGCTGACCAGTGAAGAAATACAAAGCGAAAAAAATTACATCAAGAATTTTAAATTAGAGACTTTTTGTTCAATTGTTAAGTTCAAGATTCATCAAAGCCAAGTTTTCTAGTTGGAGAAAGAAGAAACTCATTTCTTCAACCCTTGTAATCTCTACTCGGTGAAGTAGAACGAGGAGGGGTAAACTCGTGTTGAGTTGAAAAGCCTAGACGCTCAAAGCCAGCTTTGTGTTCAAGACTTGAATGGTCTTCCTTGTACTTGTGGATAGTGCAAACCTCCCCGTGTTTGTGGAGAAGAGTGGAGTGGCTAGGCTAATTATAGCCAAACCACTATAAAACTCTCTGTCTCTCTATCTTATTCACCGCTTATCATTTGCATACTGCTCACGCTTAAACTAAAACTTTATCAATCAAGTCAAAAACGTGAAAATAAAGTTAAAATAGAGTTTATATTTCTGTTGTGCATAACTCTCGAGAAGTAGAAAATATATTATATTCAAATAATAAATAATTTTTTAAAAAATACAAAAACCAACCTAAGTCCATAGCTAAAAAAAGAAATGTAGAAAAAGAAAACACCCAAAGCAATATGGAGAAAGGACCAAGGAAGGAAACATAAAACCCATCAATTAAATTCCTACAGATGTAACGAGGATATTTTTACTGGTACTTGGGACAACTCAATCCTCATAGATATTTTTATACCTACAGATGTAACGAGGATAATGAGGATACCTATTTCCTCGGGATATACGGACACTTGGTACTGGGATGGTGATCCTAGAGGAAATTATTCTGTTAAAAATGGCTATATACGCATTGTTGGGAATTACGAGGATAGCAATGACATTGTTTTTAACAAATGGCTAGCACTCTGGAAACTAAAAATTCCCCCCAAATGGAAAACCTTCCTATGGAAAGCTCTAAGTGATATCCTCCCCACCACCAAGAATTTACTTATAAAGAGAGTGGATGTTGAGCCAACATGTGCCATGTGTGGTATCATTCATGAGGACACTATGCATGCATTAGTTTTGTGTGACTATGCAAACAACATATGGAGCCAATCCAACCTTCCAATCCCTGACACAAATGTTTTTCATGAGTTGTTTAGTAAGATCTTGGATTTTCTAGACACTGATGAAATAATGTATGCAGCTGCAATTCTTTATCACATTTGGAGAGCCAGAAACAATGCGGTTTGGGATGCCTATCTACCAAAGCCAAGAGGGGTGTTGGCGGCTGCCACCGCCGCAATGCATGCATGGCGTCAAATTCACCACATCACCGAGTCACCCGCCACCATTGCACCAACCGAGACGCTTCAAGCTGCTGCCACTATAACGCCGCCAGGACGACCGCCAGGACGCTGCCTTGTGGACGCTGGGTATCACCGCTCAGCGAACACGGCCTCGGTAGGAGCAGTTTTGCTGGAAGCATATGGAGGTTTCATCTCGGCCTTTGCTTCTTCTCTTCTGGACTGCTTTTCTCCATTTATGGCAGAGGCGTTTACTTGTAAAGAGGCCTTATCATGGTTGAGGGATCGTGGCGAGCGCTCTATAGAACTATACACAGACTGCCTAACATTTCAGCAATACTTATCTTCTACAACTAATCCAGATCGCACATATATCGGTTACGCTATTGATAGCTGCAAAACTTTATTAGCATCCTTTGATTCATGTTCTGTTAAATTTATTCCTAGATCAGAAAATTATTTAACTCATACTTTAGCTACATCAGCTTTTAGTCAGACTGCTGCTATGTACTGGGATACAACCCCACCGGATTCGATTTCAGCCTATTTTGAATAAATGTCATCTTGGCTCCTTTAAAAAAAATATTATTATTGTGGAATAAATTATATTTTCAAAAATATTATTAAATTTGATTTTCTAAATAATTAATTTTATGTCAAGGACCTTGTGGTTTAATGGTACTAAATTACTCTCTTAAGTGGGAGGTTGTGGGATCAAGCCTTAGTGGAACTAATTAAAATTAATATTTACATCACAAAAATTAATATTTTATATTAAGCTAATTAAATTCGCACTAATAATTTGAGAAATCAAATTATTTTAGTGTAGAAATTTAGTATTTTGGTATTTTGGTGTAAATGGATTGGAGATGAATAAAATTTATTGTGAGAATATGTTGAGAATATTCCTTATGATGTGACATATATGGCCCGTTTGGTTCATGGAATAGGCCGGGAATTGCATAGCATTCCCAGTAATAGGCATATTCCTTTGTTTGGTAACCGTTTCTATTACCGGAAATATTATTCCCGGTAATACCCTATTCCTCCAGATAAGGTAATAGCTATTACCAGGGGCCCCCTTGGTATTAGGCTATTACTGAGTTCTCAGGAATAGCCTAAAATTTCTATTTCCTATTTTACCCCCCAATTAAATTTATTTCCTATTTCACCATCACCACTACCACCCCACCACCCCCACCGCCACCAGCACCACCACCCACCAACAACACCACCACCACCAGCACCGCCGCCGCCACCAGCACCACCACCATCGTCGCCACCACCGCCACCACCACCATCGCTACTACCGCCGCCGCCACCAGTACCACCACCCCACCACCGCCGCCGCTACCACCACCACCACCGCTACTAGCACCACCACCCCACCAACACCACCAGCACCACCACTAGCACTGCCACCACCGCCGCTACCACCACCGCCGCCGCCACCATCGCCGCCACCGCCGCCACCACCACCACCCCACCATCACCAGCATCGGCACCACCGCCGCTACCACCACCCCACCACCACCGCCGCTACCACCACCACCGCTTCCACCGCTACCAGCACCACCACCCCACCAACACCATCACCACCACCACTGCACCATCGCCGCCACCACCACCATCGCCGCCACCGCCACCACCACCACCACCCCACCACCACCAGCACCGGCACCGCCGCCGCCGCCGCCACCATCGACACCACCACATATTTTTATAAGGGTATTTATGTCTTTTAAAACATATTTCATTTCTATTCCTTAAACCAACCAAACACTGTAATATAATTCCTAAAGTTTATCCCTTCCGCGAACCAAACAATAAAATACAATTCCTATTTTATTCCTTGCCTATTCTATTCCTTATGGAATAACATTCCTATTAACTCAAAATTCATTCCGTGAACCAAACGTGCTCTTAATGAAAAAAATTGATGTTTTGGTATGAATTGGATTAGAATTGCTCTAATCGATTTGGTGCATCAAATCACCATCAGCGCAGCTCGGTGCTTAATTAATCAGGTGCATGATTAATCAGCATCAACAATTAGCACCATTCTAATTAAGCTTCCCAAAGCTTTTTTTTTTTTTTTTTTTTTTTTTTTTTTTTTTTTTTTAATGCCCCCAAAGCTTAATTTAATTAACCTCTCGCACACAAGCTCCAATAAGCTTAATTAACATTTAACAACTTTCAAAGCTTAAAATTTGATTTCTCTCAAATAAGTTCACTTTAAAAATCAATTTCTTAATATATTTACCTATCATTCATTTTGAGTGTACAATATATCAAATTCTTCGTTGCAAATTCACTTTAATCTAACCTAAATTAGAAGTAGACCTCACATATATTTGCATCACAAAATAACCACCTAAAATTGTCATTTTTAACTAAAAATTCCAACAAATATTATAGTAATATAAATATAAGATACTCCGTATAAGATAAACCGATTGATATACTTGGAAACGATTGCTTAGTAGTGTATGTACGCAAACAATTGTGACCGAGGGTGCAGTGACACATATAAGGCATTTAGAGAGTAGCATATATATATATATATATATATATAATGTGGCTGAGGAATTGAGGACAAAGGCAAAGAGACATAAAAATATCGGTGGGTAGTCTGAAGATCAGAAAATTCCAAAAGATTCCCAGGCCATCCAGTTCTTATAATTATCAAGTGAAAGTCCAGAGGGAAGAAGGAACAGGAAGATATTAGATAGATAGATAGATAGATAGCAACCGCCCCTTTCTCTCTCTCTGACCTTCTGCTTCCTGCTTGTATCGCCAATTCAACTTGCAGTGTAGTGTGCAGTTTATCATTTAATCATGCATATGAGGGCATCATCTGCAGGTTGCTATCATAATGAGTACTGTTGCAGAAAATAGACCTCTCAATGTGCATACCTGCCTAGCTGATGGAGACACATTCATTCCCTACTGTTATCTCATCTGTCTCACTATCTATCTTCAATATAATTATATTCCACCTAATCTAGCCCATCTTCAATTCATGCCCAGCCCACTTATCATTCACCACTTTTTTTTACCAAAGATCCAAGTTTCTGTAGTGAGGTTTGTTGCATAGAATAACTCAAGTTCAGCATCCGGCCATCTAACTATGCCTGTTATACAAAATAAATATAAGAAATTAAAGTTTCCGTTTGGCTACTAGTTAAAACTTTGAGTTAGTGATAAATGCTTGGTATTAGCAATAAAGTTGAGTGCCAAAAGCCTTGTGGTGCATAGTTGTGGCCCCTTATGAGAGGTCTCAGGTTCAACTTCCAGTATGGGCATTGACTTTATACTTCAATAATAGGTTGAAAAAGTATCTATGAACATATATTACATTGTAAATTTGTAATAGAGTTAAAAATTAGTGACAAACTAAATTTGAATATATACAATATTTATAAAAATATCTATGTTTTATATATATATATATATATATATATATATATATATATATATATATATATATATATATATATATATATATATAGAGGGATGCACTCAGGTGCGAAAAAGTGTCCAGGAAGGAAATGCGAACGAATCAGCGCGCGACACGTGTCCAGATCTAATAACTTAAAAAAAAACGCGGTGGCATTTTCGTAAATAATTGAACATCGAAGTGCAAGTAAAATCTCTTATAAGTGCACCTATTTTCACATATTAGTGCATATAATTTTGCCTTGTTAGCATTCACTTTCCGCAACTATTCATGCACCTGGGTGTGCTTATAACTATATGTGCAACTATTTATAACTATAGGTGCAACTACTTATAACTATATGTACACCTACTTTCACCTATAAGTGCATGTAATTTTGCCTTGTTAACATTCATTGATCTGAGTTCGCGGGTAGTAATACTCCTGAAAACCACTCGCAAACATTCATACACCTAGATGCAACTACTCATACCTATGTGTGCAACTACTTAGAACTATTGGTGCAACTACTTAGAACTATAAGTGCAACTAACTATTGATGCTCAGTGTAAATTTTTACTTGCACCTATAATACATTTTACATGCACTTATAATACATTTTACTTGCACCTCGATGTTCAATTATTTACGAAAATGTCACCGCATTTTTTTTTTAAAAATCAGTGTTTCTCATCCATTAGATCTGGACACGTGGACGAACAGAATCCATTCCTATTTCTCGCCTGGGCGAGTCGTTCGCACCCGAGTGCAAGTCTATATATATATATATATATATATATATATATATATATATATATAACTTATTCAACAACTAATTTTACAAAACAATTTTAACCACAACCAACTAATTTAATACATCTTAGCTTTTAGCATCTAACATTTTTTTTAGCTAAGCATGTCAAATAGAGCATTGGTATTTGTTTAATATAGATGAGCTAATTTCGAACTATTAAAAATATTTTGGTTCATAGAATAGATTTTGAAGGAATGAGAATGGTATCCCCACATATGGAATGGAATAAACAAGAAATGGGGTAAAAAAATCAAACTATTAAAAATATTTTGGTTTATAGAATAGATTTTGAAGGAATGAGAATGGTATCCCCACATATGGAATAGAATAAACAAGAAATGGGGTAAAAATTCTATCCCATTGTTCAATTTGCTTAAAGAATAGACTTCATAAATTGTATTTTAGTGTTTAAATGGTTTAAGGAATATGAATGGAATAAATATTGAAAACACATAAATAACTTTTACACGGAATTTTATATAATGTGATAGCATTTTTGTTAATAATTCGAATTTTGAAGCGCAAGTAATTAAATTGTGCTAAAAGTACAAGTAATAATGGTTTCATAGAGTGCACCTAACTGTAAGTAAATTGTACCAAAAATACAAGTAAAATGTATTAAAAATGCAACAATATAATGTATACCTAACAACAATATTAAGTGCACTTAACATTATCATTAGTTGCACCAAACATAATCATTAAGTGCACCAATGTGAAAAACATTATCATTAAGTACACCAATGTGAAAAGGTAAATTACTTGTACTATTAAGTGTAAATGATTGCACTTTTATGTGATTTTACTTGCACACTTGCATTTGTTACTTGCACTTTTAACATATTTTACTTGCACTCAAAGTTCGAGTTATTTATAAAAATGTCATCGCATTTTTAAAAATATTACATCTGATCTGTTGATCTTTTCAGATTAACGGCTCATATTAGTTCCTATTTCTCACCTGGGCGTCCATTCTCACTAGAGTGTTTCCTCTCTCTCTCTCTCTCTCTCTCTCTCTCTCTCTCTATATATATATATATATATATATATATATATATATATATATATATATATATATATATATATATATATATATATATATATATATATATATATATATATATATATATATATATATATATATATATAGATTGGATCAAATGAGAACATGGTTCTCCTACATAAAGTGAAGAACTGATCTCAATTGTCCATCAAGGTTCTATCAATAGTTGATGATTTTTGTAAACAAAAATACGAGGTCAATTTTATAATTATTGAAAAGTTTTAAGGACGAGGTTCATTT